TTGTAACATGTTCATTTACATGTTTATATACATTTCCTAAAGTTTTATTATTTTTGGACTTCATTTGTTATTTTTAACAGTTTTCCAAAGTTCAGCTTTAAAAACCAGTTTCTGAATATGTCAGTTTTCGGTCGACCGAACCGGTCGACCGAACCTGAGTTCATATGCTCACTGGGCGACAGAGAGTCTGTCGGTCGACCGGTCCGGTCGACCGATGAAATTTCCGGTCGACCGACAGTAGATTTTTCTGCTTCAAACAGCTAGTTTTATTACCGTTGCTGGGGCTGTTTTTGTCTTTTGGCTTAGGGTTTGACTGAGAATTTGTGTGGGTATAAATACCCTATTGCTGTTCTCTTTCAAGCTATCTAAGAGAGTTTTAAAAACAAGTTTAAAGAGTTTTGTTTAAGGGTTTAGTGTTTGTTTAAAAAGCTTTTAAGCATTTACAAGAGTTTGAGTTTGTAAATTCAAATTTCACAAGAGCAAGTGGAGATCATCCTTGGTGTTTGAGCATTCATTCTTCTCCCTCTCTCTTGTCATCTATAGAGAAGTTTTCTTAAACTCAATTCTAGCATTTTATAATTTTGTTCTTATTTTCATAAGCTAGATTTCATATTGAGTTTAGTTTAATTGTTTTATTGATACTCTTTGTTCACACACAACCTATTGAGCTTATTGTATTTACATTCATAGTATAATTTAGTGTTGTGGGTTTGTGACATTGAGAGTGAGCTTAATTGAGTTCTCACCTTGTTTATCATAGTATAATTTAGTGTTGTGGGTTTGTGACATTGAGAGTGAGCTTAATTGAGTTCTCACCTTGTTTAGAGAACAATCATTTGCTTTATATTGTGCCTAATTGTGAGGATTCACTTGTAATACACTTGTACACCGAGAGAAGTGTGTGGTGAGAGACGGGGTCGAATCCAAGAGGAGTGGCGTCGGTTGACGTGCCTAGGGAGAGGTTGTAACCGAGCACTTAAGGAGGAGGACACGGGCTAGGACCAACACTTAGTGTGTGAGGTGTGATTGCATAGTGATTGTATTGTGAGGTATAAACGTTGTTCGGGTGAACGTAGAAAACCCGGTTGTGATAGTGGAGATCTCCTCGAGGTGAGGAGCGGAGACGTAGGTCGTGGGGACCGAACTCCGTAATCATATTGTTTGTTTGTGATTGCATTGGCGCACTTCCTTTTATGTTCATATCTTATATCGCCTTTGTATATTGCTTGTTGATTATATTGCCCACTATCTAGTTTAGATTGTTTACCCTTGAGTTTATATATCCTTGCACATATTTATATCATATAGGATATACCCCTTAGTTCATATTGTTCATTCTAGCTCATATATATTGATTGTATTTCATACTTGCTAGGATATCTTGTTAATTAGTTTTAATTGGCATTTAATCGGATTAGATTAGCATAAGACCCTAATCACCCCCTTCTAGGGTCTAACATTTTTGAGGAAAGGGACGAAAACCATCTTTCTTCTCTAATTTATTTTTCCTTGATTTATAAGAAAATGACCAAACATGCACTCAGTCTCCTAAATTCAATATTCTTAATATTAATTTGTTCACTGTCAAAATGGATGGAACTGAAGGCGTGTTTGACAACCGGAAAGTAAATAGAAAGTGCACCAAAAATTAGAAAGTGACTCCGCTTTCTATTTTTTATCTCATTTGCCATTTGGCAAGTGGATGGAAAGTGAAGAGAGAAGAGTGTGAAAATATATTTTTAGATTTTTTATATATCATTTTAGTTTTACTTGTTCATGTAGGCATATAAAATTGCTTATAGGTCCCTTAGCTCAGCTCGGCACAAACCGACAAACCAACGAGGCAACGAGATTGACTAATCGCACGCAGGCAACGGAATACGTCCATTCGCGTGCGGGATCAAGCCAAGTGTTCGAAGAGTCAACGAGTCATCCAACCAATGGCATACTCGGACGAATCACGATCGAATCAAGATCGGTTTCGGACTCGAACTCAGAAGTGGATTTACTGCCTAATCGGGATCCGAATTTACTGCCAAATCAGGTCAACGAATCAAGTCTGGATAAATCAACCACAGAACCGAATCACAGATAGAACCAAGAGCGGAAAACGACAGAACAACACACCCGGAGGGGCTCGGCTCAAACCGAGCCACCCTGAGGTGGCTCGGCCCAGTGCCGGCCACCCAGAGGTGGCCGACACTGTTCCGTGCGCGGGCACAGTAAAGAGAGCCTATAAATAGAGGCCTTGGTTCATTTGTTCAAGGGTTGGAAATTTTGGAGGCGAAGCTCTGCCGGATTCAAGACTCAAAACTTAAAAAAAGATTGGAGCTAGCTTTGGGACTTCGGGGACTCACTCTTCCAGATCTGGTGCTCAGCGATCGTCAACGCCAAAAAAAAGGTAGGTGTTCGAGAGAACCGGATCTCAGATCTACGCAGACGTACTCCGGATCTAAGCTTGGTCTTAGATCCCGAGACTTGGACGATTGTTTCCTTGGTGAATCAATCCTCCCCGGCTATTATTTCCTTTGTGGAATAATACCCGTCGTACTGCTTAGATCTGATCGGATCTAGATCTCGCGGTGGTCCACGGATAAACCCCGGCGCAGGCAAAGAACCCACAAAAGTGAGCGACCGCAAAACAGGAGCTCGTGATTTGTTCGACACAAAAGGAGAAAGTTGTAATTTTCTTTATTTATTGTGTTATTTGATTTTCGTTGTAACCGGATCTAAAAAAGAAAGGAGAAAGTTGTAATTTTCTTTATTTATTGTGTTATTTGATTTTCGTTGTAACCGGATCTAAAAAAGACCGGATCTTTGTAATCGATAAACTATTACAAGAATTTGCAATGGAATCAATGATGAAGAAAACAACGATTTTCACCGCGAACAGTTCACTTTCTACTATTATTTTATGTGATAACCAAAAGAATAAGAAGGAAATAAATATCACACCATTTGCACCTCAGCTTTCTTTCTTTTTTTACTTTCGAATATCCAAATAAGATTTTGCAAAATAGAAAGAAATAAGAAAGTACCTTCATGAGAAAGTACTCTCTTTTTTTCACCTTCGATTTACTTTCCTCTTGCCAAACATGCTTGAGGGAAAGGTAACTCTCTTTAACCTCCCACCTCTTCTCTCCTCTCTCTTTCTTTACTTTTCCTATGTGGGATGAAATTCCAAACATGTTGTAAGATAAAAAGAGAGGTTTTTATGAAAGAAATGCCTACTTACCTAAAAATTTGTATTTGAAGAATATAAGTATCTTTAGACCAAATATCAAATTTCATCCATAACGAGGATATAGTCTTTTCTTATCTATTCATTTAATGGGTGAATAATCAATTGAGGATAATTTTTAAGAGGGTAACTTTGAATGTCTGTATGAGAGGTGATATATATTATTCTTGATATAAAAAAATATTCAATTTTCTCTTTGTGTTATAGATGCATTTGAGTAGTGTTTATTTTTTCTTTTTGTGTGTTATATGTGAGTGTATGCATATTCAAAACAAAAAAAAATGGGGCTGATTTTCAGAACCCTTAAACTTTAGAAATGTTGCATGTAAACCTCTCAATTATTTTAATCTAAGAAATCCTCTTGAACTTTGAGGTTGTTATAGATAAATCCCTTGAATTTCTTTTATTACACTAGACCCATTGAACTTTGGGGTGTTTTGCAAAAAACTCCATGAACTTTAAACTTTCTCAATGGATCTCCTACTTCTAATTGACAAGTAACTAAAAGAGGATGAAGGGGTAAGTTGTGTGTAGATGACAGATGACTAGATTGAGGATTATTTCTCTAAAGAACATTTTAATTGTTTGCCTACTAGATTGAGGATTTTTTTTCTCTCGAGAACATTTTAATTATTTAATTACCAACTACAGGCAGAGGGTCATGTCAGAAATTCAAAAGTTCAGGGTTGTTGTAGATTATCCAAAGTTCAGAAAGGTTTACTGTAAAGGGTCATCTACAACACCCCTAAAATTTGAGGGTATTACTTGAATTAAAATAGTTGAGAGAATTACTTGTGACACAAATATCATATTCTCCAACTTTTTTTTTGGGTGGGGGGGAGGGGGGGTTGGGTTCTTGAGGTACTTTGGTAAGGTCTAAGAGTTAAGCCAACCATGGTTTCAAGGTCCAGCTGACCAATTTGGAAGGCCCTTGAGATAATGGGGACATGTGAGAATTTTTAAATATTTGAGGGAATAATATAGAATTATTAAAGATTTGACTGAGTGGTATCTAAATAACCCTGTTTTCAAATATCTAGAAATAGTGACATACTGTTCTGTCATATGTGATATGTGATATGGTCCGACCACAGTTTTGTAAATAAATATACAGGCTGAAAAAACAAAATGACAAACATGCTAGCGTCAAAACAAATGCACAAAGGAGGAAGTCTTTTAAGTTTTAATTATTACCATTTTATTTATTACCTTCCATTTCGATAAGGGTTATTTGCACTTAAATGCCCCAAAGTCTACTCTATTTTTTAACTTCGACACTTGATTATTATTTTTGCTCAAAAATACCCTAAAACCTACCTTAATTTTAACTTCGATACCTGAAAGTTTTATTTTGCACAAAATGTACCCCAAAGATGAATTTTTTTTAACACTGATAGCCTAAACTTCCGCAAAACTTTTGACTTTGATACCCAAAGCTTTAATAAAAAAAATAACAAAAAATTACGAGTTTTGAATATAAAAGTTTAATTTTGTTGAACTTTGGGGTATCAAATTAAGTTACATTTTGTTGCACTTAAGGAAATTGTTTTAGCGAGAAAAAAATGCTTGGTTATCAAAGTTAAATTTGATGGAACCTTGAGGTGTTTTTTGGGCTAAATCAAACATCAGGGTGTCAAAGTTAGCAATGAGGTGAACTATGGGGTATTTAAGTGCAAACCACCCTTTATTCCTAAATTAGTTGCAAAAGAAAACCCACAAAATTGGTTCCTCTCTTTCTCTCTCCATATAAAAAACTCAGCAACAGAGAGCAAGCAAAAGAAAAGATCAGCAGCGATCCACGCACGTTCCTCTCCCATTGCCTTCGCCCTTCGACTCTCTCTCTCTCTCTCTCTCTCTTTCTCTCTCTACCCCGTTCACAATTACACTCTCAACTGGGTTTAGAGAGAGAAAGCAAACAAACAAACAAAAAAACCCATTTGTAAAATCTCTTGATTTTCAATGTAATAACAAGCCCAGATGATTCTCATAGCAGTTGACAGATTGTGAACAGCTATGATCAAGCCCAATTTTTAATTCCCTCTTTTGGCACTTCTACAGAGCATATATTTAGATGCTTGAAGATCCCTGAGAGAGCTAATACTTTCCTTGATAATTTTTTTTACTTGAGAGCAGTGTTATTTGTTTAGAGGAGAATAAGGCTATTTTTGTTTTTCAACTTGTTGAATGTTTTGTCTCTTACGCAAAGATCCATTGCTCAGTTTAAAGGGGTCCGCTTGAATCTCTTAGTGTTTCTCTGGCTTCTCAAGCTTGATCTTGGTTCTCTTGTATTCTTGTTTTAGGTATGAAAGTGGTATCAAGTTTCAGTTTTTAGATCAATTTATTTGTGGGTTTTTGATTTGTATTGCTGCGGTGTTGATTTTAATGTTTGCTTCATGGGTCCATCTTTTTTACATTTTTCGTGATTTTTCTTTGTGGCCTTCAATTTTCAACATCAACTAGGTTTATTTTTATGGATTTTTGTTTTTCATTTTGCTTTACTGCACATGATGATACGGTTTTGTGCATAGATCTGAATGGCCTAAGGTTTCTGAGATTTGTTGCTTTTTTTTGTAATAAGAACGAAATTTGATCAGATCTTGCTCCTTGTGAAATCTATGTTAGATTGAATGCTATGTTATATGACTTAATTTTGTGCTTGGATTCTCTTGCAGGTTAATTTATTTGTGATTTTGTGGTCCCTTCTCTTGATAGAAAGATGAGTGGAGCAGTACTTATTGCGATTGTCGCTACAATTGGTAATTTACTGCAAGGCTGGGACAATGCCACCATTGCAGGTAATTGAATTGTTTCCTCAGATGAGCAACTTATCTGTTAACTTACATAGATTTAATTATAAAATTGAAAGGAAAGAATTATGAGCAATTCTATATAGTTTGATTGCAGCCTAGAGTTGGGTGTTCATAGTTATAACTAACTTTGTTATAGTTTGTTTACAGAAGGCTCCATATGTTGATACCTTTAAAATAGAAAATTGTAACCCTCAATCCGCATCATAACTTTGGATTATGATGCACTGGAGGGGACATTTAATGCTACATCCAAGTAACGTTCAAATCCCACCGGCACGAACTTAAAACATATTTTAAAAAAGGAAAAAGAAAAGAAAAGCTGTGTGGGTTCATGTTTCGTCGTGTGGAAAGGACGCTCAAGCCGTGAGCGCATATTATAGTAGAAAATTGTAACCCTCAATCATCATCATAATTTGGAGGTTTGGTGCAGTGGAAGAGACCTTTAACAGATACCCATCTGACGTATATAAACTGACGGAAGAGAGAAGCCCCCTTAGCCGATAACACTTTATTTCGTGTCATTTTCCCTATCGATCCTCATTGTTAAGTAAATCAACAGTCTTACAATGCAATTCTTTTTGTGTTTGAGTACCATTCGGTTTTCTGATATCATTCATTTCCTCCTTTTCTCGTCAGGAGCTGTTCTTTACATAAAAAGGGAATTTCAGTTAGAGACTCAACCTACCATCGAGGGTCTAATAGTAGCTATGTCCTTAATCGGGGCCACAATTATCACAACATTTTCTGGTCCAGTGTCAGATTGGCTTGGTAGACGACCCATGTTAATAATCTCATCGGTTCTCTACTTTCTCGGTGGTTTGATGATGTTATGGGCTCCAAATGTCTACATGTTACTTATTGCAAGGCTTATTGATGGATTTGGGATCGGTTTAGCTGTCACTCTTGTTCCTGTTTATATATCTGAAACAGCCCCAGCAGATATTAGAGGGTTATTGAACACGCTCCCTCAGTTCAGTGGGTCTGGAGGAATGTTTCTTTCATATTGTATGGTGTTCACCATGTCATTAATGCCACAACCAAATTGGAGAGTGATGCTCGGAGTTCTTTCTATTCCTTCCCTCATATATTTTGCTTTGACTATATTCTATTTACCGGAATCTCCAAGGTGGCTTGTAAGTAAAGGGCGAATGGCTGAAGCGAAAAAGGTTCTTCAGAGGTTACGTGGAAGGGAAGATGTTGCAGGTTTGAAACACTGCTAATTTTTAGTTTTGTTTGAATTAAAAATCATTTTATATATTAAGTTATGCAATATTCTTTCTTTTCCCAATTACATACATATATCTGTTTTCTGCGTGCACAATGTGTATCTTTGATGTTTGCTGGTTTTTTTTAATTGGTGACATTTGCTTCGAGAGCATATATTACAGTGTGTGGCATTCCTATGAATATTGAATAAATTTTGTTTTGTATTTTTTTTGTTGCTTTGAGTTAATTAAGTTGTTTTCCATTTTCCGGATCTTATAGGTCTAGTACCAAAAATACGCAACAGTAGTGGTAACATGTTTACAGATAGATGTACTGAAAAACTCCAGGTGACTTTTCTCGTGTTTCTCTTTGTTGGTTTGTGCACCTTACTTGGTTCTCTCTATGGCCAGCATGATAATATATTGTTCTCCAGAGTTTCTTGTTGAGGATATATTTTTAGACTTTTGATTTATTTCCCGAGTTAAGATCCGTCTGGTGAAATATATGGTGGATATGTCATTGTTTTGATGCGGGAGCAGCTATAAGTTCTTGGAGAAGTTTATATTTTGATTAGGGTCAATTGCACACACCTCCTCTTTACTATGATGTTTTTAAACTTATTGCCCCTGCAGTTTAATTTTGGTAGATAGACCCCTTGAGTGAAATTCTTTTGGATGTTATTACCCTGTGCTTTTACCTTGAGTGAAATTGTTTTTCAGTTTAGGGGTAAAGAGTCTGAAAAATTCACTCGGGGTCTATGTGCCGAAATGGAGCTACAGGGCAATAGTTTAGAGTAATATCAGAATTATCTCTACTCTAAAGAAAAGACCGTCCTATCTCAACCAATTAGTAGGGACAAATTAATTGTTGCCCTTAATACATACATATACTTGTTTTGAAATTTTGAGGGGTACCAATTGATGGCCCGCAGCAGTGTCCCTCTGCCACTGCTTCTCATCCTCATAGACGAAATATATGTTAGTTTCTAAACAATTAGTTAACCGTCTCATTATTCATTCAACCTTATGGTGTTTTGTCTTGTTTTCCAAATACAATCCTATTTCTTGGCCCGTTTTTAGCATGCTACCATTTATCCATCTCAACGTTCTCATTTCAAGAACTCTCAGTTTTTGAACATGTTCCTTAATTGCCTAACATGCTAATCACAAAGCATAGCTGGTTCTATTGCCACGTCATCATATGTTCCCTTAACTTCAATCATGTGTTGGCCTCTTGCAACTGCCAAATTATTCTCAATGATCTCACACAGCCAAATGTTTCATATAGTTATCTAGGGGCTCTACTTGCTTGTCTTATGGCTGCAAGACCTGGAGTATTAGGGGCTCTAAGATCAGTTTTGAATTTTTGATCACCAAGTTTGCTTTTCTTTGAACTTGGAAAATCTTTAAATCATTACTGTCTCCTGCCTTAAATTCATGTGGTACTTGTTAGTTAATATGTAACTTCTACCAGCAGTGGGCACAGTTTTCTCATATACCATAGTTTCATATGTTCCCTCTGGTGCGTGTGTAGCTTGAAAACTGTTTCTAGTGGATACTTACTTTTGGCTAGCTACCATTTACATTCATAATAGGGTTAATTGCTGATAGACCCTCTGTTCTATCGCCAAATTGAATTCACTACATCTGTAGTTCTATTATTGCAGATAGACTTCTGAATGAAATTTTGACTCTTTTACCTTCAGGGAAAGAAAATGTTTTTTTTTGGAAAAATATGTCTATTGGGGGTAAAAGAGTCAAAATTTTCACTAAGAACTATAGAGATAGTCTACAATTAACCCTTCATAATATCGGCCTTCGTGAAAATTGTTCTCAAATATTGAAAATGCTATGCTCAATTCTTCAGACTAGTTGATTACCTCACCTGTTATAATCTACATTTCCATCACAGTTAGCTCTATTTCATAAAATCTTATATTATATCCTTGGTTGTATTATACAGGAGAAATGGCACTTCTTGTTGAAGGCTTGGGTGTAGGAGGAGATACATCCATTGAGGAGTACATAATAGGACCTGCCAATGAACTTGCTGATGATCAAGAATCAGCTATGGAGAAGGAACAGATCACCCTTTATGGACCTGAGGAGGGTCAATCCTGGATCGCGCGGCCTGCAAAGGGACAGAGCATGCTCGGAAGTGCCCTCGGCATCGTCTCTCGCCACGGTAGCATGGAGAACCAAGGCAGCATTGCTCTTATGGATCCTTTGGTTACCCTCTTTGGGAGCGTCCATGAGAACTTACCACAATCAGGAAGCATGAGAAACTCAATGTTTCCCAATTTTGGCAGCATGTTTAGTGTGGCAGGGCAACACCCGAAGACTGAGCAGTGGGATGAGGAGACTGGTCATAGAGAAGATGACTATGCATCTGATGGCACTGGAGGTGATTCTGATGACCACTTACATAGCCCCTTGCTTTCTCGTCAAGCAACGAGCACGGATGGGAAGGACATGGGCCCACATGGAACTAACGGGAGCGTTTTAAATATGAGGAGGAATAGTAGTTTGCTTCAGGGAGCAAGCGGAGAGGCGATGGGTATTGGTGGAGGATGGCAACTAGCATGGAAATGGTCGGAGAGAGAAGGTACTGATGGGAAGAAAGAAGGAGGGTTCAAGAGAATCTATCTTCATGAGGGAGTTTCTTCGTCGCGAAGAGGTTCGATTCTTTCTATACAAGGAGGTGACATGCCAGAAGAAAGCGAGTTTGTTCAAGCTGCTGCTTTGGTGAGCCAGCCTGCACTTTTCTCAAAGGATCTCAGGAGTCAGCATCCGGTGGGACCCGCGATGGTTCATCCGTCGGAGGAAGCTGCTAAAGGGCCGAGATGGTCCGATCTTCTTGAACCTGGAGTCAAGCATGCGTTGGTTGTTGGGGTTGGGCTCCAAATCCTTCAGCAGGTAAGTAATGTTATATTGGAAGGGCAGTGATATCTTTGATGACATTGATAATGAGAAAGAAATGCAACATTATCAAAATATGAAACATGGAGGGACTAACTGTAAAGAGTTTTAATAATTTANATATATATATATATATATATATATATGCATATTTGGTGTCGTTAATATTTAGGTAAAAATATCATATACTTGCAGTCTTGCCTTTAGTGATCAAAGTTTCTAAATGAATTCCTGATTAAAACTGTTCCTTCCATAAATTTAAGTATGTTTCTTGACAGCATCAGATGACAATGAGATGTTGTAATTTCATTTTCTGAAGTTTTACACTATGTTTGATATACATCGTTGATTGAAATAACCTCATTTTGGATGATTTCTTGTTAGCAATGATGTACCTGAAGTGCTTGTATTATCTGTACCTTTTCTGCTCTTTCCAGTCTATATTTCAATTAATTCATACAAAATCAAACTGTTAGAACTACATGCATCTCTGATTGAGGACTACAAGCATTCTGAACAATATCACATTGAATTATTTTATCGGCATTAGCTAATATGTTTAGTCCCCTTTTCATATGTTGATTTCTTTCAAGGTTTTCTATAATCCAGTCGTGGTGAAAAATTCTAAAGAGTTCTTTTCATCTGCAGTTTTCTGGTATCAACGGTGTTCTCTACTACACACCTCAGATTCTTGAGCAAGCCGGTGTCGGAGTTCTTCTCTCTAACCTTGGCCTCAGCAATACATCAGCATCCATCCTTATAAGTGCCCTTGTTACCTTGTTGATGCTCCCTTCTATTGGTATTGCCATGAGATTCATGGATGTTGCAGGAAGAAGGTTATACTCTAAACTTTAAACACATAAAATAAATAGAAAGAAACACAAACAAGAAAGTTTTAGGATGTTTGCCACTTCTTAGTTATTATCCTTTTAAGTGTTTCGTGGGGTGTACGTTACTCAGGGGCTCTTTCAGTGGATCCATTATATTATGCATCTCTCCCACGCTCTCGTTATTAGGAGTGGATATCAAATACCCTAATGAGGAAGAGCAACTAGCTGCCCGCCCTGACATCTCATGAATAGCATCTGACAACCATTTTGAATAACCTTCCAGGCTCACCCCTGGAGGAACCAAGGGGGTTAATAGGATGCTCATACGGAGGAACCACCGTCCCTGCCTCGGGCAAGGAAAGAATTTTTGACCCCGAAGATGAGCCCACCTCCGACATAGTATTAGAAGTCTTACTACTACCAGTAGTATATACGGTTGTTGTTTGACAAAAAGGTTCTAAATATATGTATGTAGGTGTACCCAAACTTTATGTAATTGGAATAAACTCATTTCACAATTTTATCACAAAAATATAAAACCACATGAAAATATAAATCCTATTTCAAAGTTCTACTACTAAATGCAAAAGTATATGGAAATTGAAATATCATTTTCCTACTATACTTGAAATGGAAAGAAAACTACATAAAAGGTAACATATGTTTATATAGTTTTTTATTCCATATTAGTCCTGTAAATTTTTTAAGTGATTTAAAATTAGTTACTTAGAGGCTAGTTGAAATTGAGATAAATATTTCTTCATGTTTAATAGTTTTGGGCGCTGTAGTTTTACCCATACTGCCCAAATCCAAACCCTGAAAAAATCTTCACTGAAGTACAAGTTGCGGAAATATTATATTAGATTTAAAACTAATGATTTGAGCTTAATTTTGGTGGATTTTGATGTTGATTTTGGTTGATCTGGTAATTACCTATGCTGGATTAACCACTACCCAACCGTGGTCAATAATTTGGAAAACAAATGTAACAAACGATAATTTATAACATTTCAAAGATTCTGTGAAATAATTACAAGATATGAAGATTTGATGGGCTAATTTCAAATATGAAAGATGTGGGGGATTAATTTCAAATATGCAAACTTTTGAGGACTAATTTCAAATGAAAGTTTGTGAGGGACTCCCATGACAAAAACTCATGCCTAGGCTTTTTTGTTAAAAAAAAAACTATATCCTGGTAATTACCTATGCTGGATTAACGAGTTGAAAGATACCGTATCGGTCCTCCTATGTGGATCAACCTTGCCCCAGCTACAGTAACTTTCAACCACTTAAAAAATGTAATTAAAAAAAAAAGCGCAGCCCTCTTTTACCCTTGAACTATTTTCTTAGCACGCACACCCCCCGTCTAGACTACTTTTTGACTTACTCTTTTACCGTTTCTTCTAATGACAGGTTTCTTCTTCTAAGCACGATCCCGATTCTTATCACTACATTGGTCATACTAGTCATATCCAATTTGATAGAGTTCGGCCAAATGCTCCACGCTGTCCTCTCCACTGTCAGTGTTATAGTCTACTTCTGCTGCTTCGTTATGGGTTTTGGTCCTATTCCTAATATCCTTTCCTCCGAGATCTTCCCAACTCGAGTTAGAGGTGTTTGCATCGCCATCTGTGCTCTCACATTCTGGATCGGAGATATCATTGTCACCTACACCCTCCCCGTGATGCTCAATTCCATCGGCCTTGCTGGAGTTTTCGGAATTTATGCAGCTGTGTGCGCTATATCTTTGGTGTTTGTCTACTTGAAGGTTCCAGAAACAAAGGGTATGCCACTTGAGGTCATTACTGAATTCTTCGCTGTTGGGGCAAAACAAACCGCGAAAAATTGAAAGAATGTTGGTTGGCATTGTTATTCTTGGGGTACATTGAGAAGGTTGCGATGGAGAAAAGAAAGAGAGGGAAAAGCTTGGCATTTTGATATGGTGATTGGTGTTTATTCGATTTGTTTGCGATGGGAGCGGCTCAGCTTCAGGGATCACGGCGATATTGTCTTTCTTTTCCCCTATGGATGACTTCATATATTCTTTCTTGGCTAGATAAATTTAATATCGTAAACATTCCTTACATTTATGGCTCCCTTTTCTATTTGCTCCTGGATCTGTTTGTGGTATTTGATGAAGCTTAGTTTTTCGGTTTTATGAAATTAGTAGTAGCTCTGAATTATATCAGTGAAATATGTTATTTCTTAGAGACTTGTGAGTTGTTTAAAACTAATTTCATCTCTCACAAGGAATCAGAAGGATGACAAATGTGCTATTTTAGCAATTGTTGTTGTTATTGTCTAGTTTGAGCGGTCAGTTCTAATCTTCTATAAAAATGTCTCCAATTTGTCAAAACCCCAGAGGTATTAAAGAAATTGTTGTCTGTGTTTGGCTTTCTTTCACTTTTGTACAAACTTATATTGCGGTTTATTTATGATGTGTTGTTTATATGGGCGTTTCTAAGGGTTGAGATGGAATAAGGAAGTTAAAGAGTGGCATTTTCATATGTTGGATGATTTGGGTGTTCCTTTGGATTTCTTTGTTATGGTGTTGGATCTTAGATTTATGGAGATTAGTTAATTTAGCCGCCCCCCCCCCCCCCCCCCCCCCACCCATCCACCACAAAAATCCAAAAAAAAGCATCCAATTTATGAGAAAGTATTCAGCACATTAACTTAATTAACATCTCACATGATGATGGTGCATTTATTCATAGGAAGATGTCATGCCATGTGTACATGCTAATCATTTCTTCACGCAAGAATCCTAATCAAATTAAAAATAATTATAATTAGAAAATTCAAATATCAATTTAGGAATCAACTAGCAAATTAAAACTAGATAACCCCACGTTCATGGCATTTTCCTACTTATGGTATTATTACCTTCAATTGATCAGGAGAAAGAATATGATAAATTACTCAATCGCAGATTCATAGAGATCGGGTAATTTATTCAGAATATCCTAGCTCGTAACCTTCACCCCCCCCCCCCCCCCCCCCCCTCACCCCCCCCAAGTGTAGGTTATATGAATAAGTGCCCCTTCTAACTTTAGGATTTTATTAAAAAAATGCCCCCTTTTAACTTTAAGATTTTATCAGAAACTTCCCCTACAAGTATGAACCACAGTTTTCACTTGCAAAAATACCCCATGCATGATTTTATCCACCTATATATGTGAAAATAGTGGCTAACGCTGTCAGGTGAATTTTATGATAAAATATTAAGATTAAAGTGGGTTTTCTCAAAATCTTAAAGTTAAGAGGGTTCTCTTAAATTTCGCCTTCTAATCTTTAATACATACGTAAGTGTAATACGTATCAAAAAGAACTTGCTAAATGCTAATTCCTCTAATCTAGCTCAACTTCTAGGGTTTCAATAATCCATGGATCTCTCTGATGAACTCCTGCTGGAGATTCTCCGTTTTCTTCCTCGAAAATCTCTTCTTCGTTTCAGGTGTGTCTCTAAATCATGTCTGGCTTTTGTTGGGTAACGATGCAAACTCCAAGTCGGATGCGGGTTTGAAGGCTAGGCCCACTTCTAATAGTTTTCTTAGAGGCCAAGTTAACTTGGCGGGTCAACGCATCTTTAAATAAGGCGTCATATTCTAGGTTTTTAGAGTAGAGAGAAGGAGAGAGACAATATTCTTGTAATTAGGGTTTTAGAGGGTGTAACCAGGTTTAAGGATATTGTGAGAGAGAGGGTTTGGTAGTCTTTGTCCATGCAAAAGATTATAATTTGGAGGTGATAGTGGATTGACTTTGATCCCGTGATTTTTTCGTGTTAAAGGTTTTCCACGTTAAATCTCGTGTGATTCTATTTGCTGCGTTTGGTGATTTTCAGGGTTTTTTTAAGATCGAAAAATCCCAACGGCTCTCTCATCTCAAATCCTCACAATTATACCAGGTTTAATTTCCTTCTCGCCATGTCCGGACTGTTTGCATCGCCTGCAAAGTACGTACGTATCTGCAAACACCAATCTTGATCTTTTGCCGGTACATTCAAACCTGAGGAACTTGGATTGCTCCACTGGTTCCCTCTAATGTCGCGGCTTCGAAATCGACTCTAATATTAAGTATTATGTTTGTAACCCTGCAAGAAAGCTATTCACTGTGATCCCTCTCCCTCATCAGCTTGTTGAAACCACAACAATATATGTGGATGTTTCTAATTATATTTCGATCCTCGAAGCAGCCAATACTACATCTTTAGACATTGTAATTTGTGGTCAATATATGCTTCTCACAACATAATCACTCTCCAATTAAGTATTTTCATTGACAACAGGCAAATGGGATGAGAGGCAGATGAGTGTCGGGCTTGGTACGTAATTGCTTTTTCAGACCGATTGCATTGTTCTTTAAAGGGATCCTGCTTCTCAGGAGGATTCTGTGTATTCTAGCCGTCTTGGCATCTCGCGTGGTTGTTTGCGATACGCATCGATATCGAAGAAAGTATTACGAGTTTGGGCCTTGGGGAACTATGACAGTGATAGTTGGGTTTTGAAGCGCAACGTCACTCTTGAAGATGGTGAAGTTTGGATCAAGGCATTTCATTTAGATTTGGATGTCATTTTTCTCGAGTTAATTACGAGGGAAACTCTACTCATCGTATCATCTGATGACTGCTAAAATGACAGAGATATACATATTTAAGTTTCAGAACTTTTTATCCTTATTCTCCGTATTTTGCCGAATTTTATCGTGCATAGAGGTATGTTTTACTAAAATCTCACAGATCTCTATATGTCCCTAAGCAATAATAGGCCCTTTGGTGTTTGACATGTTTGATCTTTTCTTGGCCTAAGCTGCATATACAGTACTTTGATGAATAATAATATGGTTTCAGGCATCTTCAGATATCAAGCATTCACTTGCTTCACAAGATTATTTAGCTTCATTAAAAGAGGATGAATCTATCTATGTCATAGTTATTCTTTGTTCCACTCTTTACCTTAATATTTGAATAGGTCAACAGGTGGGAGAAACGAGTAAGAAACGAATGACTTCAAAAGACTGGTGAGCAAAAATGGAACAAAAATTCCATTCAAAAAAGTAAAAAAAAAAAAAGGGTTAATTGCACTTCAATACCCTAAATTAAGTTTGATATCCTAGAGTTTAAAATTTGCCCAACAACCTCAAAATTTTGTTAGGTTTAGGTCCGTACCTATGAGTGGACTCAAAATATTTAGTCAAGTTGTATTGGCACTTGGCTAAGTTGGTTTAACCCATAGGTGTATGGGTTGGAACTTTAAGTCATATTAAAGTTAAGCTTGTAAAACTGTGGGGGTTTAAAGCGCAATATTCCAAAATACGAAGCTTCTAGTTTGAGTTATGATTGAGGGTGTGCGATTATTATACCCCCATACAAGAAATTTTCTGCTTTTACTAAGAACTTTGAGTTGAATGCCAGTCAAAATGCATAATATTATTGTTGGCTTTAGGGCATCTTTGAGTTATATTCAGGGTTCTTGTTGTGTCATTAAGTACCTAGTATCTATTTGCACAGTTTCTTCATTGAGGACTGAAATTATA